GGAATTCCTGGTGGAAACTGGGAGATGTGCAGCCAACTAAGATATTGTGAGTACTGACCCAAGCTCAAGATTTAGTGATGGGGTGTCAGCTGCAGCTATTTCTGTTTCTAATCTGTCTTTGTTCATCAAGCTGAGCGTGTCCTGTTACACGTCTGTATTTTTGGAGTATCCCATACCACTCCAGCCCCTCTCCTATTACAAGTTATACTAGCAAATAACATTTAAAAAGAGATACCCTTGAGTACTGTTTAATGGAGGCGGAGCAAATGGACTGTTGCTTGTGTAATTGGTAGCCTCTAACTATCTGGAGAAGAGCCTGTTCAAAATCAGTGCCTCCTTCAGGGATAGAGTACCAATTACAAACATGGTTCATCAATTCAAGATGTTCTCTTAACACAATAGAAAAAGGAGGGGGCAATTATTTATAAGCAGCCTAATTGTTAAATGGTGATGGTTCCATTGCGTTGGTATATAAAAGCAAAGAGAGACAGAAGGAACTAGAGGTAAAGAAACACTGTCTCAACAAAGAAGGACTAGGAAAAAAAGTAAGGAATGGGAGGATGGCACATCCAGCCAAAGCTGTTAAAAGCCCATCACTGTCAAAAAATGTTACACAGAATCAATTCCCATCAGGAGACAGTACCTATCAAGAGGGTCAGCATATATATTTTCTTTTAATCTAGCCCTGACATACACTCCAATTACATACAGGATATTATGCACACCTGGGTGAACACAGTAACAACAAATACACACCTTGGAAGAGGAAGCATCTTTGTTGGACACATCTGCGTATGAACAGGGGTAATCTTCCAGGAAGTTATTCCCGTAAAATGTACAGTTGACGCCAGCTGGCTCCTACCATTCTTTAGCTAGCTCTACTGAAATGTGACAGTAGCAGCAAGGTGTTAAGCACAGTCCCAAACATACAAGTGTTTGTCTGAATGTATTCTATAATGTCTCATCTGACTGAATAAACCTGACACAAATTCACATTTACAGCATGTTCAGGTACATATTGAAGGTCTGCTAAACTCTGCAAAACAGCCTTCTAATAGAGTTCTATTATAATCCAGTACAGCTAGATAGATTAGATTGCTATCAGGAGCTTTCTGATCATGTGACTGCTGTGACAGCCAACCATAGTGGTCACATGACGGGAATGGCTGTACCCTGGCACTTAGAAGCCCTTAAAGGGCTGGGAGGCAGTGATGGCAAGGGGCTACTGAACTGTTACACTCAGCTCCAGGCTCGGTGACTGATTTCTGGCATTTCATATTTATTTCAAAATAGTTATTGGTTTGTTTATGGTTATAAAGTTTAAGCATTTGTTGCCCACCCACAGTACATTGGGTGGGCAGCAGCTGCAGGCTCATCAACGTACCTGTATGTCACAACTTAGTGCTGGGTTTCGGCCGTCTGCTGACCTGTGCTGTCAGTTGGCACTGCATGAGCTTGTCAGCAGGTTACTGCCAATGATTATAGCTGTATACCTGCTGATTGGCTGTGGCCAATCACAGCACAGGTCTCTATGTGTTTGTAAACAGAACACAAAGGATCTGGCTGGCTTTTTCCTTCCTGAACGCTTTTCGTTCAGGGAGAGAAGCCAGCCAGATTCTTTGTGAGTACAAGCAGCACACATACACTTGCTTACACTTGATAGGCACATTTAGTTAATTGATTGACCTCCCCATAACCCTTTGATTGCCCTGTCACCTAATCAGTGTCGTTAGTACAGTGACAGTGTACACTGTTATCACTCATCACTGTATTAGTATCACTAGCATCACCAGTGTCTGTTAGTGTCCCTCTCAGCCAGTATCAGTCAGCACCAGATATCCCTCCACACTAACACCGTCAAGCTATGAGTCACCGACCACCGCCATTATTAGTATAGTGTCTATACAGGTCAGTATCTTGATCACAAACAGAACTATACTAATGTCCCCAATAGTATAGTTTTCCCAAAAATCTAGTTTGGTTTTTACCATAGACTTGTAGCAAAATACATTTTGGCCTAAATTTATGAAGAAATATGATTTTATTAGATACGATTTATAACAGAAAGTAGAAAATATTGGGTTTTTTTTTTTTTCAACATTATCAGTATTTTTTTCGTTTATATAATAAAAACCAAGTTGTGATTAAGTACCACCAAAATAAAGCTCTATTTGTGTGAAAAAGATATATATTTAATTTGGGTACAATGCTGCATGACCACGCACCTGCCAGTAGCACAGTGCGGAATAGCAAAAAATGCCCTGGTCATGAAGGGGGTAATACCTAAAGAGTTTAACGACTTTACTTATATGCTTACCCCCATAAGGGACCAAGGCTTAATATTTTCCAAGATGGTTGTCTTTTGTTGTTTCTTTTAATTAACTTTTCTATTTCAGATTGTTTTCTTATTATTTGGTTAAGGGGGTGCTTGTGGGGTCTGCAATCCTATGGCAGAGAGACAGGTATCATCATGTTTACACTGTTTTCTGAATCTCAGAGGATGCCCAGCCTGATCCGAAGACATGGCTGATCTGAAGACTTTTGAAATGACAGATAAAAAAGGAAGAATAATATAAAATACTCATTTGGGAGGAAGACTGGAGGGGGGAGAAGCCAGAGAAGGGCTTTGATATCATGGAACATAGAATTATTATCAGAAGTCATGCACAGGTCATCTGTGTTCCATGTATGCATCTTAAAGCCTCAGAGAATTGAATTCCTATCTGATAGAAAAGAATGATTGTATAAAAAGGATCCTGTAGGTAAACGCATGCATATGTATGCAAAGATTATTTTCATGCTTGTTCCAGATCAGTTACTCACTAGGCAGTGAAAGTGTATGTAACCCTCACCTTGTAAATCAAACCCATTCAATTTAAAATAGGAATGACAGTCAAAACAAAAGTATAGCAATAAGCTGAGCTAATCTCTGAAGAAGGGGATGTGCCCCCGAAATGCGTCACACACACCAGCACTACAGTATCGCATGTCTGGTCAAGTGACTCCTGCACTGGATTGTGCATCATGATTTTATACCTTCTTTTCTTCTTTTGTGAGTACCCATTGGCTACACTTTTGTTTTTACAATAAATTGCAGGTAATGCACTAGGCATTTGTGCTCTCCTATGTGTTTATTTGTAGTTCTTACTGGTTTCTCTGAGGAGGGCTGTATTGGTGGAGCATTCCTGACAGATGTTATCTACACTGTACTTCTTGTCTTTGGTGGGTTTCTGAGCGCTGGAAGAGACTGCATGATTTGTGTATACATATAAAAAAATTAAAAATACATGATAAATGATCACATACCCTATAAGCTCCTTATGCAGTTGAGAATCGAGAGCTGGGAAAGTAGAAGCAGCAGCAGAAGGACACTGAACTTCCCAATGACTGGCTGTGTGTGTGTGTGGGGGGGGTCGGCTGTGAGGACAAGTAGAAGCAACAGCTTCATTAGAGGAGAGCAAGGTGAGTTCCAACACAGCTAGAGTTCTGACCATGCTGGGAGGGATGCGCTTTCATGCCTAGTGCGGTCAGCTTTTGATAGGAAAGCAGAGGGACTGGCAGCAACACCAGCGATTTCACACAAAGGAAGCAATACAAAGAGAACAGGATACATTTTCATACAAGTACATGGTACAGCAGGCACGTATCAGGAATCTGAAATGCTGGATTTACATACTCTTGAAGCCAGGATCAGGATGACTTCCCCACAATCTGCACCTCTACCTTTATATGTTTCCTTTAAAAGTAGGAGTGGCTGAGATCACCAAATATAATTTAAGATCCTTTGCTCTCTCTACCTTTTTAAGAGGACAGGTACACTTCTTCAGTCACACAGGCAATATGACTTTTGTTGGGTGTATAGATCCATGCTCATTGGGGGTGCCCAGCTACTGGCTTCCCTTTTCACCAAACGGGTTGATTGATTTACACATATGCACTAAACAAGAACAATTCCAACAATATTGTTACATATTTTACAATAGTGTTACAAACATTGATATATTACAATGTATTTATGAATAAAGCTTACAATCACAAAACACTGTAAAACAGTGGTTCTCAACCTTCCTGATGCCGTGACCCTTTAATACAGTTCCTCATGTTGTGGTGACCCCCAACCATAAAATTATTTACCCAGAAATTCTAATTCATGAGTGTCGTTTTACCTCCAATACTGCTGCTTTCAACACAGTAGCTGCTTTTAACAGAGTAGCTGCTTTCAACACAGCAGCTGCTTTCTACACAGTAGCTGCTCTTTACACATTGGAAATATGTGTTTTCTGATGGTCTTAGGGGACCCCTGTGAAAGGGTCGTTCTACCCCCAAAGGGGTCGCGACCCACAGGTTGAGAACCACTGCTGTAAGAGGTAGGCACAAGGTTTTAGGAAGTTATGCAGAGTGCCCAAACTGTACAGGAGAGGGGTCTGTACATTCCTGGAAATCAGGCATGACAAAGGGTAAGGCTTTTTTCAAATGGGTGGTGGACCAGCCTTGGTGGATTGCTTTTCAGGGGCAGCTGAATGGCAGTTTGCAGGTGTTCAGAAGGTGATAACGCCACCTCCTGAATGTCTGTGATTTTATTCAGTCCCAATGGCACATGGTTGTAGTGTGGTCTTATTGATGGTTGGCAAGCAGAATATGGACATGCATGTTAAAATTGTGAAGCGATGTGGGTGTGGCAATCTGAACAGGCCAAATGGTTGCTGTGTCTGTTTGTAAGGTAAGTAGGTGGGAGCAGTAAGAATGCAGAACAACCCCTATTTTTTATTGCCCTCTTACCACCTGTTTGAATGAGGCCTAACTGCTCAGTCTCCAACACCTGTTAGCACTTCCCTTTATTACCTGTTTGATGCAAACTCTCATCTGAGCTACATCAGTGAGTTTAGGTTGTGTGATTGTATTATTACAATTTCATGATATTGATCTTTTTGCTTGTATCACACTGAGCAATTGATCTCCTATGGTCGTGCAACACTGCAATTTAGTTGCAAAGCAGCAACCAGGGGCGGACTGACCATTTGGAAACTTGGGCACTGCCCGAGGGCCCTGAGTCAGTAGGGGGCCCCATGAGATGCCCCTGGTACCTTTTTCATAGGTTTTTTTGAGTTTGGGCAAGGATACAGGGCCCCATGATCCCCTATTGCCCCTGGTACCTTTTTCATAGGATTTTTTGAGTTTGGGCAAGGATACAGGGCCCCATGATCCTCTATTGCCAGGGGGCCCCATGAGTTGTCAGTCCGCTCCTGACAGCAACTATTATCAATTAATCTCATCTATAGACTTCAGTGGGAGTGGACGATAAAACACACACCTGCTCATTTAGGAGATTCTCAATTTATATTTCCCATTCAGTTATATCTAAAGGGTTAATCTCATGAGACTAAGGTATAATTCACATGAACGTGCATGAAGGGTCATGTCTGCAAGCATAGGGATGCATTCCCATATGAGCGGGCCCACAATGGCCAGGATGTATCCTGTCTAAGAACAATAATGCACACTACATTGCCAAAAGTATTGGGCTGCCTGCCTTTACACGCACATGAACTTTAATGGCATCCCAGTCTTAGTCTGTACAGTTAAATATTGAGTTTCCTTTGCAGCTATAACAGCTTCAACTCTTCTGGGAAGGCTGTCTACAAGGTTTAGGAGCAGGGACGGACTGACCATTTGGAAACTCAGGCACTGCCCGAAGGCCCGGGGTCAGTAGGGAGCCCCATGAGATGCCCCTGGTACCTTTTTCATAGGCTTTTTTGAGTTTGGGCAAGGACACAGGGGCCCTATGATCCCCTATTGCCCGAGGGCCCCATAAGTTGTCAGTCCGCCCCTGTTTAGGAGTGTGTCTATGGGAATGTTTGACTATTCTACCAGAAGCGCATTTGTGAGGTCAGGCACTGTCGGACTAGAAGGCCTGCCTCCGTTCTAATTCATCACAAATGTTTGTAGAAGCAGTCTGCATGCCTAGGTGCTTGATTTTATACGCCTGTGGCCATGGAGGTGATTGGAACACCTGAATCCAATGATTTGGAGGGGTGTCCCAATACTTTTGCCAATATTTATGTCAAAGAATAAGGTGTTGAGGAGCGCTGTTCTAAATATTAATTGTGACGTAATATAGTGTATATACAGCAGCTCTTCTCCCCGCTTCCTGGTCTCATGTTCTTGGCTCCTGCTGCTGTCAATCAAATCCAGCAAGGAAGGAAAGAGGGGCATGGCTGAGCCACAATGTGTATGTCTTAAGAAACGTACAGCCCAGCTCAGGATCGAGCCTGCACAAGTGCCACTTTCTATGAGGGCACTCAGAGGAAAGGCTGTGAAGAGAACGACAGTGTGGGACCCCAGAAGAGGAGGTTTGAAACCGCTATATGCAAAGCCATTGCACAGAGCAGGTAAGTATGACATCTTTCTTTAGTTTAGGAAAAAAAATGTTAGGCTTACAGCTGATTTAAAGTGGTTGTAAAGGCATAGGGTTTTTTACCTTCATGCACTCCCTTTATGCCTGATCCAGCGATGTGCACAAAACCCAAGGCTCTCTCACATCTCATTGGCTCAGATACAACAGCAGAAGCCATTGGCTGTCGCTGCTGTCAAACACAGCCAGGGAGGAGGGAATGGGGGGCAGGGTCGAACCGCACTCTGTGAGCCCTATGGACACACAGAGGTGGCTGGGGAGAGAGCACACACAAGTCCCTTCAGAGTAAGCTGCTTTCTATGGGAGCATTCAGCAGGAGGGAGGAGCCAGGTGCGCTGGCAGGGGACCCGAGAAGAGCGATGCTCTGTGCAAAACCATTACACAGAGCAGGTGTGTATGATATGTTTGTTATTTTAAAATAAAAAAAAAATAACCTTTAGAATCACTCAACACATACATTCCTTAGTGCACCTTACAGGGATATATGGCAGAAAATCACCTTCGAGCATCAGCGTGCGTTTCAGCTATTCAGTTTAGAGATTGCAATTTCTGGGTTTGCATACATCTGCAATATAAACCTGTATTACTAGTATAACAATTATCTTCACAGTTCTTTTATTCCTTCTCTTTTGCATTTCCTTTAACTAAATCTGGCCCATTCACTCTCTATTAAAGAAAACAAGTTAACCATTTCCTTTCTTGTACCATGTGGCTTATGTATCGCAGTCTCTGTCAGGTTTTATTGCTGTCTGCACCCCTATCCCGCCCCTGATTCCCCCATCTACTTGTCCTGGTGACCACTATCACTGGGACTGAAGTGAAAAACTTGAGTTGACCCTAGAGTAGGAATAGAGGAGAAATAAGTACCTCACTTCGGTCAAGGGGATTTCCTCTCCCTTCCTGTTATGTCTACACGACAGGATCTGGGGGTAAAGTTTTTAAAATGGAAACCGTTATATAGTTTGTCAAGGTAAAAAAAAGACACCATCTAGTTCAGACAATAGAAAAAAAGTAGAATAGAAAATCTCCATTTACAGAACCTTATACCCAGAACGGATGCAGAGGAAGGCAAAAAAATCCCATAAAGTTTGACCTGATTTGCTCCAGCAGGTGAAAATAATTCCTGTCCAATCCCTTGATGGCAACCTAAAAAAAAAACTAAAATGATCTTTTCCTCTGTCCTGGTAGCAGGGAACTGCTGCTGATCCTGGACATAGTAAAACTGGAAGTAACTGTAATCTTCCCAGTTGTGCAGAGCTGAATGAATTGCAAGACTGGCTGTACAAAATGACTACTTTAAGGTCTAATTTAGCTTCACGGTAGTGCAAATGATAATGCAATATATTGAATATATATATATATATACACTGCTTTCATCAGAGGGAACAGGGGGGAACGCAGCATTGAATGTATGTAATAGCAATGGGTGCTGGGGTGCTGAGGTGGGTCTTATGTTGCTGGAAGGAAAATTGTTGCTAGGGGGGATCTACTGTTACGGGAGGGATCTACTGTAACTGACTGCTACATAGTTAGTCTGGCTGAAAAAAGACCAAAGTCTATCCAGTTCAACCATAGAAAAAAAAAAGTTATATTCTTATACCCACAGTTGATCCAGAGGAAGGCAAAAAACCCAGCAAAGCATGATCCAATTTGCTCCTGCTGGGAAAAAAAATTGCTTCCTGATCCCCCGAGAGGCATCCGGATATTCCCTGGATCAACTTTAACTATAAATGTTAGTATCCAGTTATATTCTGTGTATCTAAGAAAGAATCCAGGCCTTTTTTGAAGCAATCCACTGAGTTGGCCAGAACAACTTTTGAGGGAGTCTATTCCACATTTTCACAGCTCTCACTGTGAAGAAACCTTTCCGTGTTTGAAGATTGAATTCCTTTTCCTCCTTGGTAAAGATTTTGACCCTTTTTCAATATTGGCACCACTATGGCCTTACGCCAATCCAGTGGTACTATGCCAGTCATTAAAGATTCCCTAAAATTAGAAACAATGGCTTTGAATGACAGAGCTCAATTCTTTAAGGACCCGTGGGTGTATGCCATCCGGTCCGGGTGCTTTATTCACCTTTATACTGTCTAAATATTTTTGGATCATATCAACTGTGAGCCAATGTGGATCATCTAGAGCTGTGTCAATACCATGCCCATTATGGACAAAGAACTCCCTCATGCTCCTTTGTATACACAGAGCTGAAGAAGGTATTAAATAAATTTACCTTCTTTGTCCCTAGTCACCCACTGTAGATTGTTTTGTAAAGGGCCTATATGTTCGGACCGGACCTTTTTACTATTAATATATTTGAAGAATTTTTTGTGGTTGGTCCTACTATCTTTTGCAATCTGTCTGCTGGAGGGTCTGTTGATGCTGGGGTTTATTATTGCTGGTTGCAAGGGATCTATTTTATTGCTTTTCTTGTTATCATTAACAAATTCCATACAAATTATTTAGCACCACAAAATGATACTGGTTTCTGAATACCCTAATGGGTGGTGCTGAGAGGTGGGTAGGGGGTGTAACCAAGGAACAGTGCTCAGAGGCGGGTAGGGGGCTGAACCAAGGAACAGTGTGCTCAGAGGCGGGTAGGGGGCTGAACCAAGGAACAGTGCTCAGAGGCGGGTAGGGGCGGAGACAAGGGGTGACTTGGAAAGAGAGAGTTCCTGCATCTATTCTCTGAGAAAAAAGCCTGTATATATATATATACTATATACATACACACAAATAAACTGGTGATCTTCGCACACACAAAAAGACAAAATATCCTGGGTGCTCACTAGTCAAAGATCCAATATGTATGTTGCGCTACCCTTGTGAGGCCTGCTTGTATGTTTGCCCAGGTTTCCCCTTGCTTTGCCCTGCAGCCAGGCACAGTGTATTCTCCAAAGCCAGGTACACACTCTCTTTCACTCATTGTCTTCAATGACCAGTCTAGGGGATGTTTGTTTTTTGGAGTTTATTGAAGAACTGGGGATAGAGATGGGGAATTTAGTAGGATACTCAAAAATTAGAACTATTCACACTGAGGACATCTGAACTTATTTCTTAGTTGAGCAGTATTGAAGTCCTGACTGAAGCAGATAGTAGACTTCTCTTTACGGTGTGCCAACGAATGGAGTAACAAGTAGGTTAGAAGCGAGCAAAGTTCCTTTAGCAGTAGCTAACACTTGGACAAGCTCTTCAGAACACCAGCCACTGTTCCCTTTCCTTTTCAGACCCATGCTGAATATCAATCACCGGAGGAGCAGCAAGCACACAGAGTCCCCAATTTCTCTCAGTGTCTGTACTCAAAAGTCCAAGGACAGAATGGTTTCTTCCTTCCAATCTTTCAAATGACTCTCTCTCCAGTGATACCAGACAGATCTTTGGCAAACAGCCCCCCTCAGTCAGCTTACTGTAGAACCAGGGTCACTCTCTCTAACTTCAGGTCCTTAAGTCGAACCACCTGAGGCCGCATGGCAGCCAGTGCCGTGCCAGGCAAGGCAAGCCTGCCCCCAGCCTGGCTTGTTCAATCCTTTCCTGGGAAAGACTCTGAACCCATGTGCTCACAGACCATAAAATACCACTCCCAGCATGCAATGGGACTGCCCTTCCTTGCAGTTCATCAGGGCTGTATCCATAATTATGCTGCTCATTTGCCTAGTCCCCTCCAAGGTTGTGGAAGGCTCTCACAGCTTCCTGAAGGTGGGCAGAACTCAGACAAAATCAGAAGCACCACAGCATCATGAGCAGACCTGACTAATCCATCACAGCACTCTGTTAACCACCTCCCATCCTGCGTTGTATATAAACAACCGGATAGTGGCAGTGCAGGTTCGGGTGGCCGTTTATAAACAGTCTCCCCGCACCCTGCTTGCGCGCGCTCTCCCTGGGAGCGCACAGCACCGCGATCCGGTAGAACAGTGGAACACAGATCGTCAGATGGGACCTCTGTGCGAGGTCCCGATCATGTGATCACTGATTGGCCAATCAGTGATCACATGCAGAGTAGTAAGCAAGATGTCACTTGTGACATCATTGTATACTACGAGTGCAATCTGTGAATGATCACAGAGGTCACATGGTACAAGGCTATTCACAACAGCCTTGTACCATGTGACAAGCTGTGACCAATCACAGCTCACTGAGTAGTTCTGAATGGCTGCAAGAATGCAGCTAGAGAGAAGGAGAAATGATTGCTTTTACATCCTTTATGGGTGTAAAAGCAATCAGTGTAAATAAAAAAAAAAAAAATCTTCATCACCCCCCACAAGCAGTACAGTGTCACCATGGTGACACTGTACTGCTAGGGTGACAGTATGTAAACAATAGTAATAATAATAGAAAAAAATTAAAAACAAATGTAAAAATATTTTTTAAAAATTATAATTTTTGGTTATAAACCAATTTGGGTTATTTTTTTTTACTAAAAATATAATGGAATAAATTTTAGCCAAGATTTATGATGAAATACTATTTATTTGCAAAATTTTATAAGAAAA